CTAGGCTGAACTTGAACTCATTGTGTAGCCCAGGCTCGCCTCAAAGTTGTGGCTTTGATACAATCCACTTTACACTTTCATCACCCCTAAGAGAACTCCCAAAGCTGTCACTAACCGACCCCCGCTCCTGCCTCAGGCCATTGACTTTTGTCTCTCATTACAAATCTGCCTACTGGGGGGAGGGTGCCGCCGCACTGGAGACTGAATAATCAGAGCTTTCACACTGAGCTACATCCCCAACTTTTTTTTAAATGTTTTAAATTTTTTTAGACACAAACTCTTGCTAAGTTGCCCAGCCTGGGTTCAAATTTGCAGCCCTCCTGCCTCAGCCTCCTAGAATGGTGAAATTATAGATCTACGCCATCATGCTCCACTACAAACTACTTTTTAAACATATTGATGCTTCATTTTTGATAGATTCCTAACGGAGTTTTACAAAAATACTACAGTTATGAGAACAGGAATGTATAAACTCTCTTCAAGGGACAGAAGGAAACAGTAGAGGATCCAATGCTTCTGCACCCTGCGTGTTTCTTGTGTGTCATGTACTTCACTTTGTTTGTTGGAAATAGGGTCTTGTTATGTAGTTCAGGCTGGCTTTAAACCCACTCTGTAGTCCAGGCTGGCCTCGAACTCATGGCAGTCCTCCTGCCTCAGCCTCCCAAGTGTGTACACTTGACTCTCAAGGTCGATCTGACACAAAGTAGCACAAGATCCTGAGCTGAAATGATCGCTGCCCTCTCCACAAGCGAGGCACATGCACAAGTTAGAGGTTAAGCTTCACTGCCTGGCAAATATCACCATCACTGCGACTCAAGACAGGAGCTGTCACGTCCTCTCTCCCAGCTCTGTTGGTGGCCCAGCAGCCCCAAGATGTCCCCACGGTACCCGAGGCAGCGTCAGTGGACATCACCGCGTCAAGACAGGAGCTGTCACGTCCTCTCTCCCAGCTCTGTTGGTGGCCCAGCAGCCCCAAGATGTCCCCACGGTACCCGAGGCAGCGTCAGTGGTTTTGCTTGAGAAGGGAACAGTGCTGTCCTGCCTTCTCTGCTCTCCTAAGAACCAGTGGAAATCACTAACCACTCCCAGCTTGTGGCCCCAACTCTGGCGTGCAGGGCCCTCCCTGGCTGCACTCCCAGGCGGGAAAGGAACCATCGGGGCCTGGGCAGGGACCAGCCCAAAGAAGGGCAAGTGGAGCAGAGTGGAGAGCTCAGAGCCCCACCCAAAAGGGCCTTTCTGTCTGCATTTTGTTTCCTGAGGCAGACTGGGGATTGAACCCAGGACCTTACACATCTGCAGCTCTTTTTCCATTTTATACTTTGAGAAAGGGTCTCACTAAGTTGCTAAATTGCCCAGATTAGGGTGTCAAACTTGCAACCCTCCTGTCTCAGCCTCCCAGAGTGCTAGGATTATAGTTACTTACCCCTAGCTAGGTCCTACCTGCTTTCTTGACCTGCTGCCTATGACAGGTTTGTGGTGCCTGAGTTATTAATGATCAGTTCCAATTCAGGAGGTACAAATCCTCAGAGAAGGAAAAGAAATAGAAGCAGGTCAGGCGTGAAGGTTGAACTCCTATAATCCCAGCACTGGGGAGGCTGAGGCAGGAGGACTGCTGCAAGTTTGGGGCCAACCTGAGCTACATAGTGAGACTCTGTCTCCAAAAAAAAAAAAATAGAGAGAAAGAAAAAAGAAAAGAAATGGAAAAGGGAGGACAGTGGGGATTGCAGGGGGTGCCCCCAGCAAAGAGAACAAATGAAGAAAGTTTTCAAGCTCAGGAAAAAAAAAAAATAGAAATCTCCTGAAACCCTAAGCAAACATCAAAGTATTTTGTTCCACTTTCCTTGTTTATGTTTGTTTGTTGGGATGGGGATTGAATCCAGTGCTTTCCCGCCAAACTTCAGCCCCAGCCCTTTTGTTGTTTAATTTTGAGACCCTAATGGGTATCTCAGACTAAAGGATGGCCCTTTAGTTACTTCCGGATCATCCACCACCACCGAAGTGTGTGGAGTCTGGCCCAAGCCAGGCAGTGCTGCCTGACACGTGGGCAGGGCCACCACCACACCTGCCAGGTGAGGGGGCTCAGGACCAGGGACCCTGGCAGGCCAGGGCAGTGGTGCACCGGTCTGTCCTGTGGCCCCTGGAGGCTTGACCTTCCAGGAACTAAAGACACAGACTGAGGAAAGCCTAGCTCGTGGTCAGTTGCTGAAGGTGAAAAACCCAAGGGGAGCTGGCACGGTGGTGCACACCTGGCATCCCAGCACTCAGGAGGCTGAGGCAGGAGGATCGCTGTGAGTTCCAGACCAGCCTGGGCTACACAGTGAGTTCAAGGCCAGTCTGGACTGCATATTGAGAACCTGTCTCAAAAATCCAAAATATGTTTATTTTATTAGTACATGCTTACAGTACATAATGACTGCTTTCTTGGTAGGGAGTAGCACATGCATACAACATATCTTAATTATTTTTTCATTTCCTTCGCCCTCCATCACTTGATCTCATTCCCTTTGCAAAAGATCTATCATCTTATTTCCTATGATCTTTTATTTCACTCTTTATTTATACTTTGGGTGACTCGCATAAGAGAAACCACACAATATTTAAGCTTGTGTGTCTGACTTATTTCGCTTAACATTATGGTCCCAGGGTGCATCCATTTTGCTACAAATGACTCAAGTTTGTCCTTCTTTATGGCAGCATAGTACTCCACCGTGTGGAAACATCACATTTTCTTTATCCATTTGTCTGCTGATGGGTATACAAACTGCTTCTGAGATTTAGCTTCAGTACTGTGAACTGTGCTGCTATAAACATGGGTGTGCACAGATCACTGGGACATGATGTCTTTAACTCTCTGAGACAGAATCTCCCTTGGAAGCTGCTTTCTGTTCTGTCCCCACCCCCGGTGGCCATCGCACTGTGCCCTACGTGTTCCTGGTGACCTCTATCCTATCCGGCCTCGCCCCTCCGCATTCCGACTCGCTGTGCTATTCTGTTAGAAGCCAGAGGCTGCAGCCCAGTGGCTCTCTCCCCTCCTGGGTCCCAGTGGCAGAGGTGACACCCTGGCCATCTCCAGAGGGCCTAGAGGATACCTCAGATGTGCTTAGCTAGGCTCCTGGGCTCTGGACTGTGGATCTGATGGTCTGTTTTGATTTTTTGAGACAGGGACTCACTGTAGCCGGCACTGGCCTTGAATCATTCTGTAGCTCACACTGATTTGAACTCGTGAGGATCCTGCCTCAGCCTCCGGAGCTCAGGGTGGCAGCAAGAAGCCCAGGCAGCCTTGGGCTGTGAACAGGGGGAAGCCAAGGCCTTCGGGGCTGTAACCTCCCCTACTCCTGGCAGCCTCTGCGTGCTCCTGGAGCACGCGGGTGAAGACAGAAAAGGAGACGGTGCCTGCCCCAGTCTGGCCAGGAGGGAGACCCGTCCACAGCCAAACGACCCTCCTAGGGCGTTGGAGGGGACACTACTGGTCCCCTGAACCCCTGCCCTACTCCTGGGCCTGCTGAGCAGTGGCTAAGGCGACAGACACTTCCCCGGCCGGCGGTGGTGACACAGCCCTGCCCAGAGTCTCCCCAGAGCACCCCAAAGCCCATCACGCCTACCCACACTTTCCCTCTTCCCTCCTCCAGGTTTTGGCCCACACAGCAATCCGCGCTGCAGCCTGCGCGGCGGCCCACACCGCGCCCGTGGGAGGGACAGGCAGGGGCCGGGCGGCACCCCCAGGGCCGCAGCAGCCCACATATATGAGGCGGCCATAAAGGCATTAAAGCCCGCGGGCCGTTTCCTGTCGGCTCTTTGAGGCCCGGCAGGAAGCGCATTCTGATGGAGATTCGGGGGCTGTGGGGGGACCGGCTCGTGGCCTGCACGCTCCAACCTCAGGCCGCCAAGTGTCGCGCGGTGTCTGGGGACCTCGCCACAGAGACAGCGGCTTCCTCCGCTCAAAGTCGCAGTGGGAAACGAGCGAAGACAGAAGCTCAGCGGAAAATTTCCTGCCCGTCCCCTGCGGGCCCAGCCCCGCACCCCGCTCCTCAGCGCCCCCAACTCTGACACGTGAGAGCCGGGCTCGGGGAGCAGCCGCGCCCGAGGCCC